AAAAATTAGTTAATAAACAACGATATAGCAAGAATTTTCTAATTGCAATTACTTTATTTCACTAAAGGAGGGAATCGGTGGCAGTAAATTTGATACTGAAGTTGATATAGAATATAGCCGATAAGGCTAGATTGAAGTATATTGAAAGTCCGACAAGCTACATTGAGATTCCAATGACGACAAGAGTAGATTACGAAAAGATTGAAAATGAATGGTATATCCTAATTCAACATATAAAAATATGTTTATTTTCTATGAGTTGCGAGTAGCACACGTTCAGACTTTGGAAAATAGAAGCAAAGTATGATTGCCGATAGCTCAGAGCACTATAATTGCACATTTCTAAGAGAGGTAATATCCAGGGTGATAAAATGCGTGTAAAGACAGAATCTATGAATTTCAAAACGCAATATATGATTAATAATTGTTTACCCAAGCTGGTAAGAACAGTACTAAATGAATGCAGCTCGTGATGATAGAACTTATTTTCTGTATCATTAAGAAGAAGTTAATAATCATGGCTAATTAAAGAATAAGTAAATGAAAAAAACTCAACTTTGGGGCAATGGACGAGGAGATCAACTATAATTAACGTAATTATGCTTTATTGTGGAAAAAGAAATTGAATTGGTTAAGCTAAATTCTATTACATAAATATGGAGTGTACAGATGAATTTAAGGGAAAACGAAATTATATGGTATGAATAGGCATGGTTTTCAAGCACATGCTAAGCGAATTTTTCACCGTACATAACCGCTTTATAAAACATTCCTCGTATAAATTTGTATCAATAATCAGTAGACTTGAGGATAATTGAAAAGCGTTCATTCTCACAAGGATCTACTGATATGAATGGAGGATAAACAGTTATGCTATGGCAACAATATATGTAAAAGTGTATGCTTCTAAACTGTCGGAAGATATTTAATAATGACTTTAATTAACGTAAAGCGACATAGGTCTCAGGAAATGCATATAATTTCGAAACATAATTAGCACATAAATAGTAATGTAGTAGATTCTAGTGGGAAATAAGTTGGCCTTTTTTTTCATGACTTAGCTTTTAGTGAAAATTCACCATCTACGTTTAAGAGCCGGGATAAACATGAACAAGCTGATATTTAAAGAATAAGATTAGTCAAGGACTCGTCAGAAAAAGATCTAAAGAGTTTATTGAAAGAAAAAATAATAAAGCATTTTTATGGGAATAATTTACCTGAAGTCGATGGGCAATTTTCAGTACCAGACTGGTGTCACTCAGACAAAAGTCAATTAGTTGATGAAGTAAATCTGAGTTCGCAAATAGACAACGCAGATCGGCAGAGTCGACGGAGGCCTGTAAGGAATTTACCTCATCCTCGTTTGCTTCATCTCCAATTGCTCCTTTTGTTTGCGAAATTAGATGCTTAGGGATGTATCGCAAAGGCATCTTCCTGTTGCTTCTGGCCTCAGATTGTGTCGCACAATTTGAAGATTCAGGACCTGATAGCAAGTGATTCGCCAATTCAGTAAGGCTGTAGGTACGCAAACGGACAAGTTCGCGTGCTGAAATGAAGACGTCACATACGAGACGACCAGGTAAACCATGACGCATGAAATGACCCTAGAATATAGGAGACAATCTTATAGGATTCATGAAATAAATTATTTGTCAAATTTTGCATTTTATGCAGAAGCTTTCTTTGTGAATGGTTTCATGTTGACCTAGCAACGTTATGTATGGGTATGATTTAATCATAATATAAATAGGCCTTAGAATAAGTAAAAAGAAATAAGATGTTATTAAATATGAAAAATTGAAGTACACCCAAAGATGCTTCACAACTGAAGAAAATC